TCAACAATTAGTTACATGTTATGAAAAACATGAGTCAATTCAGTATTGATCTAATGAACACATAAGAGTCATAGTGTTAATTTTCAGAAGCAAGGCAAGTTAAAATTAGAGGCTCTATCCACTGTTTTTGCTATTTTTATTTTCTAGTGTACATTGTGACTGAATCTTGAATGTGAGAGGCTCATGAAATATAGTAAACGAATGGCTCACTGAGCTGCCCTTCCTGAACACTTCACTCACTGGCACTAATTCAATAAAAAGCAAAACAGTGCTTGGCTGGGCTCGGTGTTGCATGCCTGTAATAATACCAGTGCTCTGGAAGGCTGAGGCAGGATGGTCTCAATATTATGACAAGGCTGGGCAATTTACCAGATTGGTGAGAGTCTGTCTCAAAATAAATAAATAAAAAGTGCTGGGAATGTAGCTCAGGGCTAAGACCCTTGGTTCATTCTCTAGTACTGAAGTGGGGGTGGGTCTGTGGGGGGGGCAGAAAACAAATGGAGACTCACTAGTCACACTTCATGGCTCAAGTACTAACCTCTCCCAAATTTAATATTGTCAGACTTACTTCCTAAGTTCAAATTAAGTGTTTACCCAGCTCTCAATATGAGCAAGTCGTTATGTAGAATGTAATGATAAATGAGACATAATCCTTTCTCTTGAGAGGCACATAATTAAGAAAAAGAGATGATCACATTTACAAGTTTATTTCAACAAGCATGTATCAAGTATCTTCTGTTCCCAAGGCATTATATTATATTCAAATCAGAGAAGTAAAATGATCCAATTACTGGACCTATTGTTCTGATTGGAAAGTTTCACAATGTATTGTATAAGCGCTTAGATAAAGTTGACTCCTTCTATAATGATCTTATTTAAGGTCCCAGAGAAAAGACTTTGCTATCCTAAAAACTAGGACTCATCAGGACACAGAAGGACTCAAAATAATGAAGTAAGTTCTGTAATTAATGCTAAAGTCTACATGGGACCGAGTCATGTCTGTCAAAGTCATCAATGACTACAGATCTAAATCACTGCAAATGCTTTACAGACAGGATATGTCTTGTACAAATTGTGTTCAAAGTTTCATGGCCAATAAAGATGGAGAAAGACAGATCTAAATAACAAGCTCAATAGAGCTACAAAACTCAATGTGGCAAAACAAGAGATTAATACATTACATAGTTAAGCCTGTGCTATGATAACTTTGGTCCTGTAATCTTTATGGCTTAAACCAATAAAGATTTATTGGTTGTTCATACGCATTCTGATGTGAGTTAAAAGAAGAGATCTCTAGGGAAGTTGTCCTGCTCCAAGTGACTCTATGATTTATACTGTTTTGAACTGGCTAGGGTACCATGTCAACATTCTTTTTCTATGTGGAAAGGAGGTTTGATGGTTGAGTAGCAACTCTTACATATTTTATCCTGAAAGTGACAAGTCATCTCCCCTATATTCAACTGGCCTAAGAATTAACATGGCATTCCTAAACTTAGAGTTGCTGAGAAATATACAGGGATGCTTTGCTGTTCAATAAAACAGTAAATATTTATGTCACACTGGCCAGGTGTGGTGGTGCATGCTTGTAATCCCAGTTCTTGAAAGGTTGAGGCAAGAGGATCGCTGTGAGTCTGAGGCCAGCCTGGGCTACATAGTGTGTTCAAAACCGGCCTGAATTATATAGCGAGACTCTGCCTCAAAACTAAATTATGGCACATTGACAATTAATATCATGTCTAAGAAGAAATAAGGATGGACTGATAGTTGCTTTGTTGAAATGTCAGAGATGAGCATAAATGTCTGCTTATATGAAGTATCCAGTGTAGTCAAATTCAGAGAAACACCAAGTAGGATGGTGGTTAATGGGGACTGGGGAGAATAGGAGGAAAAGGGAGTGGTTTTCTGACATGTGCAGATTTTCAGTTCTGTAAGATAAATGTTCTTCAGATCCACTCCACACAAATGTAAATATAAAATCCCATAAGCCAGAGTCTGTGGAGTCATTCCTACATCAATTGGTAAATACAGTAGTAATCAAAAATAAATCCTGTGACTCAATCCCACATCTCCAAAGCGAAAAATGCTTACTCTAACAAACTCACTGATTAAGGTCAAACCAATCAGTATTGTAAGTCTCAAAGAGAATGATTTGTACCCATGTGATTTTAAAAGTAAATAATGATGCATAATATTATTTTTTACAAAGCACAGAAACCAATAATTAGTCATTACTTTTTATTTTAGTAATTGCTTTAATGATCCTCTCTAAAATAATTGATGACAATTTTGAATAGGTACAATTTAAAAGATGAATGAGGAAAGTCCAAATAGGAAATAGGTGATACCCTGCTAAAATAAATTACACCAAAAATAATTTCTAACCAAGGTGTAAATAGGATTGAAGGAAGGCAACGAAGGATTGTGAAATACATGGAAATAAGAGAAAAGTAAAACTGTCATATAAATACACATGGGCCACATCACACGCCCCTGCTGAAGTGGTAACGGGAAAGAATGATGCAGTCACTCTGGTAAAAGCCAGCACCATGGACAGGGACCCATCCAACAAGAAAGAGCTGCGGCAGGGATAGAGGAATACAAGGATCGCAACTACCGGCAAATTGCAGTGAGGCAGAAAGAAAGTGGAAAATGCTCCCTAGTATTCCACCTACCAGACAAATTCAAACATAAGCCATAGTAAAAGAAAGTATTGGTAATTTCGTTTAGAAATCTCATCCTCCTGGGTCAAAAGCAGAGCAAAGAGCAGAAAATGCTCAGGGAAAGCAAGAAGAGACTAGAATGTAAGCAACCAAAGATCCCTGGAGAAACACAGTGATAAATCACTTTCAACTGCCAATGCTACTTAAAATTTGGACAAGTAAGTCTACCTTTTACATGCCGGGTAGGTCAAAAGTTTACCTGTGACTGACCATGTTAGCAGTGTGTGTGCAGGGGGTGTATACAGCCAGGG